CTCACCGGCCCCCAGCCCCGCACTGCCGCGCCCCACCTCCCTATTTTCCCGGACATGTCCGGCTTTTTGGGATTTCCCCCCGGATGGGGATTTGAGGGCCAAAAAGCCGGACATGTCCGGGAAAATCCGGACGTATGGTAACCCTATTTAAGCCACTTCCTCTGGTGGAAAAAAATGATTGCAAGCTCTCCCACATGGCTTGGCTCAACACTACAGGAGCATGGTAGAGTCTGTGTTCATCTTCCTAAAAACAGGCATTGTGTAAAAAAGGGACTAGGGCTGCAGAGGTAGCCTTTGCCCCACTCTAAGCCTCTTCTGACTCTTCTTCACTTCACTGAAATAAATGAAGTTAAACTAGTATAAAAACTGGAGTAATGCAGTGGTGAAACAGGCCCTATGTTTTGAGTTATGATGTTTACCATTCATTTGTCTATTTATGGAGAAACAAAGTTCTTAAAACTGCATTTAATAGCCATGCAGAAATCTGCACTCAGCTATATTCTGACTTCATGTCAGTACTTGTTCATCTGCTTTTCTTGACAGTCATAACCAAAAATAGTGATAGACTGTGTTGTAGAAAAGATTATTGTGGTAATCTGCATCTGGAAGAATGTAACAAGTCAGATATTTAATTTAACACTTTTTCTGCAACTTTTTTTTTTCAAATGGGGAAAGATTTAAAAATTTTAGGAGGGTGAGTTTATTAGAAGCTATTTGAAAGTATTATTATTAGTTGATTGGCAGCCATGGTTTAGCTAAATATATTTTGTCTAAGGGAGCACTTAACCGGGTAAAAGATTTTGGCAAATTTAAGGTTTAAAATATTGTCAATTTAGTGGGAGCTTAGGGAAACGAATGCTGTAGGGTTTGTTTTTAAAGTGAAATGTTTATTTTGATTCCTCTCACTCTGTAGAGTGTAGACCAGGGGTTCTCAAACTAGGGGTCGAGACCCCTCAGGGGGTTGCATGGTTATTACCATTGGGGTTGTGAACTGTTAGCCTCCACCCCAAACCCCGCTTTGCCTCCAGCATTTATAATGGTGTTAAATATATTTAAAAGTGTTTTTAATTTATAAGAGGGGGTCGTACTCAGAGGGTTGCTATGTGAAAGGGGTCACCAGTACAAAAGTTTGAGAACCACTGATGTAGACAATGCCTTGACCTAATGGTTCTCCTACATCCTCCCTCAAATTACATTTTTACAGAGCTAAATTCTGCCCTGATTGCCAACCTGTGCATTTAATCATATGGTATAAGTCAGGGCAGAATTTAGCCCATTATTTATTTATGAATAGTTAGGATTGGGCAAGCTATTGATCCTTGTTCAAAAATGTTATATTCCACTATTTCATATATTGACCATATGTAATAATAATGAAGATACTGCTGTAAATGTGCAAATTCTGTGTAGGTATGTATATACAATAACTCATTGGTTTCATTTCTATTCTAGCACCTTTCAAGTTACCCTGTTAGTGTTTCATTTATTTTAAATAGTAATAAATAGTTTATAACACCACAAACTATAGGGAAATCTGATAGAAGAAAATAAATAAGCTCTGCACAACAAGAATATATATTTAACCCTCTGCTCATTCCCTTTCTTGGTGTTTTTTCATGGCTACCTAAAGCACCCTGTATCACATGGATACTCAGCAGGCAACTTGTTTACAAGAAGCTTCCAGGGTAAAAGCCAGCTACAAAAGGGGAGTTTATATTGTCCCTTGCCAGAGTCAGAGATACAAAGGTACAGTGAAACTTTTAAGCCTAAAAGGGGCTTCCAGGTTAGGTCAGAAGTTACTATCTATCATGCACAGGGTTTCCCTGTGCAGTAATAATCTTTCTTCGTCAAGTGCTTGCTCATGTCGATTCTATTCTAGGTATATGCGCGCCCACGTGCACAGTCGTTGGAGATCTTTGCCTTAGCAATATTCAGAGAGTTGGCTGCTGGGCCCCCTTGAATACCGTGCTCATGCATCAGTATATTAGCGCCGCCGACCCTACGCCCTCTCAGTTCCTTACCAACCGTGACTGTTGGTTAGAGTGCCTTGTCTTGCAGCGCAAGAGCGTTAGTGGTTCTTATAGTCCATTCTTCTGTCTCCTTTGTATTTAATTGATAGGTACGTAGTTAGACTATTAAGCTTAGTTTTCGAGTAGTAGTTTGAGTTAGAGTCCCGGCTGGGACTTCGCCTTGGAGCAGGCCATGCCCCATTCCCCAGGCGATAAGCCATGCTCATCATGCAGCCGGCCAATGCCCATTAGTGACCCTCAGGAGAGCTGTTTGAAGTATTTGGGGGAGTCCCACAGAAAGGACAAGTGCAGGATCTGCAAAACCTTTCGTCCTTGAACTCAAGAGCAAATGAGCAACCCCCCCTGACAACCTCAAGGAGCACCAGGCCCTGCTCAAAAGGGTGGCTGCCAACCTGAACTTGGAAGTCGAGAAGCTAGCAGAAGAGTTCAACGACCTCTTTAAAAAGTCATACGCTCCTTCATCCCGGCCCAGGTCACATTGCCCATCCACCCAGGGGTCCTAAATCTTTGTTAAATCTTTGTGGCAGACCCCCTCTTCCATTCCACCTACCTCCAAGCACACGGAAAAGAAGTACTATGTCCCGGCAAAGGGATTTGAATACCTGTATACCCAACCTCCAGTGGGGTCCTTGGCCATGTCCGCCGTCAATGAGAGGGATAGGCAGGGCCAGGCAAGTGGCACACTGAAAAATGAAGACACCAAGAGGCTGGACTTGTTTGGCAGGAAAATTTATTCAACAGCCAGCCTGCAATTTCAGATGTCGAACCATCAGGCCCTGCTAGGTAGGTACAACTTCAACCTGTGGGACTCCATCATCATGTTCAAGGAGGGCCTTCCACAGGACTGAGCCCAGGAGTTTGCCACCTTGGTGGATGAGAGCAAAGTGGTGGTGAGAGGCCCCCTCCAGATGGCCTGGCATGCTATGGACTCGGCAGCCAAGGTAATCGCCTCTGTGGTGGTCATGACGCCCAGCTCCTGGTTGCAATTCTCCGGGCTGTCTCAAAAGATGCAGTCTACCCTTCAGGACTTCCTGTTTGAGGCAGCAGGGCTCTTCTTGGAGATGACTGATGCATGACTCCATGGCCTTAAAGACTCCTCTGCCAACCTCTGTTCCTTGGGCCTACACACCCCTCTGCAGACTAGAAAGGCATTCCATCCCCCACCTCCTCCACTTCCGTCGACGTCCTGGGGTGTCCCCCTACAGGAAGAAAGAAGAGACAAAGGGTTTAAGCTGTGGCACTCTTTGTCTTCCCATTCCTCTATCCAGCCTGGTTCTTCCAGAGGCCAAGGAAGCCAGAAGCAGGTGTTTTGAGGATGCACCCGAAGACAGCACCCCAGTCACTTCCCAGAATCCACCCCCCTTCCTGTTGGTGTGGTTGCGGCTGACCTTGGACCATTGGGTGCTCGACATAATATCTTCAAGCTACACCTGGCAGTTCGTGGCCAACCCTCCTTCCCACCCCCCTTCCTCATCCCTCTTCAGGGACCCTTCTCATGAGCAACTACTCGTTCACGAGGTTGAGAATCTCTGTGCCTGGGGGCTCTGGAGGAGGTCCCTCCAGACATGAAAGGGAAAGGGTTCTACTCCCGCTATTTCCTAATCCCAAAAGCAAAAGGGGGCCTTGGACCCAAGTATCTCAAGAAGTTGAAGTTTCACATGGTCTCTCTGGCCTCCATTATTCCCTCCCTGGATCTGGGAGATTGGTACGCCACCCTCGACTTAAAGGACATATATTTCCATTTTCCTGGGGCACAGGCGTTGCCTCTGTTTTGTGTTGGGCCACTGCCATTTTCAATTCACGGCCCTTCAGTCTCTCGTCGGCCCCAAGAGTATTTACAAAGTGGCCAGTGTCTGCTTACCTGAGGTGCCGAGGTGTGCAAATGTATCTGTATCTCGACGACTGCTTAATAAAGGGCCGATACCTGGATCAGGTTCAGAGTCATTTCAACCTGGTTTGCTACACCTGTCGTGACCTGGGACTGTTAATAAATGAGAAAAAGTAAACCTTAGTTCCAGTGCAGCGCACAGAGTTCATCAGAGCAGTCTTCGACTCTACTCGGACCAGGGCCTTCCTTCCTGAGACCCGGTTCTGGGCCATGGCAGACCTGATCTTGTGCGTGCAACCCACCCTCTTACCACCGCTCATATGTGCCTGAGGCTGTTGGGCCATATGGCAGCCTGTACTTACATGATCCGGCATGCATGGCTCCACCTCAGGCCACTATAGGCGTGGCTGGCATCTATCTTCGTCCCCAACAGACACAACATAGGCCGTGTGGTCAAGGGCCTGGACGACATCCTGTCTTCACTCGCACGGTGGCAAAATCCTGCATTGGTGTTGGAAGAAGTTCCATTCGCAGCCCCCTCCACCACCCCTCCCGTCATTGGTTACCCTTGTCTCCGATGCTTCAGACCTGGGATGGGGAGTCCACCTTGGCAATCTCAGCATGCAAGGTCATTGGTTCTGTCTCAATCATTCCCTACACGTCAATGTCAGGGAGCTCAGAGCGGTCTGCTTGACCTGCCACACCTTCCTACCTCACCTAAATAGCAAGGTGGTCCAGGTCCTGATGGACAATACAGTGGCTCTGTTCTATATCAACAAGCAAGGCAGAACTGGGTCATCTACCCTTTTCCAGGAAGCCCTCAGGCTATGGGAATTCTGTGTACAACACAATATCCATCTCGTAGCCGCACACCTCCCCGGCGCCAGGAATCTCTTGGCAGATCACCTCAGCAGGACCTTCTCGTTTCTCCCTGAGTGGTCTTTCCATCCAGAGGTGGGCTACTCCACTGGTGAACCTGTTCACGTCTAGGCAGAACAAGAAATGCCACATTTTCTGCTCCTTTCAGAGGTTCGACAGAGGCTTCCTGTTGAACACTTTCCTGCTTCTGTGGCCGGGGGCTCTAATGTATGCCTTCCTCCCAGTTCCATTGATCCACAGAGTCCTCGTGAAGTTCAAGCAGGACAGGGCGAAAGTGATCCTCACAGCGCCGGCGTGTCCGCACCAACACTGGTTCAGTATGCTACTGGACTTCTTGATGGTTGCTCCATTATGGCTACTGCTCTGGTTGGATCTGCACACAAAACCACAGCAGTTTTCTGCATCCAGACCTGGCGGTGCTGCACCTGACAGTTTGGCTGCTGCATGGTTAAATGTAGAGGAACAGGAGTGCTTGGTTGGTGTCCAACAGGTCCTGTTGGGCAGCAGAAAGCCCTCCAGCAGGGCAACCTATCTGGCCAAATGGAAGCGGTTCGCTTGTTGGATCTCAAATAAATGCATTCGGCCCGAGCGGGCCTCACTGCAGTTAATCCTGGACTACCTTTTGCATCTCAAGCTCCAACGCCTGTCCCTTTCAACTATCAAGGTCCACTTGTCTGCTATATTAGCCTTCCATCCGCCACTTGATGGTAGGTTGGTTTTTGCCCAGGACATGATTGCCAGGTTCCTCAAGGGCCTCGAGCGCCTCTACCCGCACATCAGGGACCCCATCCCTCCGTGGGACCTGAATCTTGTGCTGTCGCAGCTCACGGGACCCCCCTCCTTCCCTTCGAGCCTCTGGCTTCCTTCTCTCTCTTTCTCCTTTCCTGGAAGGTCGCATTCTTGGTTGCAATGACATCTGCCCGCTGGGTCTCTGAGATTAGGGCGCTTACCTCGGAACCGCCCTATACAGTCTTTTACAAAGACAAGGTCTAGCTGCGGCGGCACCCGGCTTTCCTGCCCAATGTGGTCTCACAGTTTCATACGGGCCAGGACATTTACTTACCTGTTTTTTCCCCAAAGCCGCATAACGAGGAGGAGGAGGAACATAGGTTGCATTCCCTAGACATCAGGAGGGCGCTAGCCTTCTACATTGAAAGGACCAAGGCATTCCGCAATTTGACGCAATTGTTCATCATGGTGGCCAACAGGATGAAAGGTCGTCCCGTGTCTGCTCAAAAAATTTCTTCTTGTATCACTGCCTGCATTCACTGCTGATATGATGGTGATCATGAACACCCACTAAACCAGAGCGCAAGCCTCTTTGTCAGCTTTTCTAGACCAGGTACCTATCCAGGACATCTGTAAGGTAGCCACCAGGTAATCCATCCACACGTTCACGTCCCATTATCCAGCAGGCGCAGGATGATGCTAGTTTCGGTAGAGCAGTGTGGCAAGCCACAAGACCATGAACTCCAAGCCCACCTCCGAGGATATTGCTTGTGAGTCACCTAGAATGGAATCGACATGAGCAAGCACTCGAAGAATTAAAAGTGGTTACCCACCTTTTCGTAACTTGTTCGTCGAGATGTGTTGCTCATGTCCATTCCATTACCCGCCCTCCTGGCCCTTTGTTGGAGTTGCCAGCAAGAAGAAACTGAGGGGGCGCATGTTCGGCGGTATACTGATGGATGAGCGCAACACTAAGGGGGCGCCACAGCCGACCCTACAGATAACACTAAGGCAAAAGTCTCCGACTGTGCACAGGGGTGCATACACACCTAGAATGGAATGTACATGAGCAACACATCTCGAAGAATAACATTACAAAAGGTAGGTAACAGTTTTTCTTTCTTTCTCTCTCTCTCTCTCTCTCAGCCTCCAACTCCCTACATCCCTGATACTTAAAAGTGCAGTATCAGGCCCTGAGATCTTAAATATAAACAGCAACATTAATTTTGTTCATTTTAAACATCTTCTATAATCTTTTTCAGAACATCAGGGTGCGGACAGTAAAAGGACAAGATTATTATTCCAAATCAGGGGCAAAATTCCATGGAAAAATGGAACAGAAATTTCTTCTGGTTGACTGTAAGAAAGTCATGTATGGTACTTACAGGTAAGTTCAATACACAAAGCTGTGAATAGAATGTTTCCTTAAAGGTAATCAGAATATGACTCTTTCATTATAAGTAATTTTGCTGTTTCTGAAAATGGTCAGTATACTCTATGGTTAACTTTGATATAATTTATATTGTATATTATTTAATAAGTCTGACATAGAAGTTTTGTTGGGTAACTAACATAATGTAGGGCCAAATTTTGAACTCCTCATTCAGTATTTAGTGAATAAGGACTCAAACAGACTCAATTTGGCTTCAGTTCAAAGAAGTCAGTAAAAACAGAGGTCATGTCTACACTTACTGGGGATCAACGCTGCTGCAATCGATGCAGTGGGGGGGTCTATTTAGCAGGACTAGTGATGACCCGGTAAATTGACCGCAGGTTGCTCTTCCGTCGACTCTGGTATTCCACTGGAACGAAAAGAGTGAGGTAAGTTGATGCGAGGGTGTCTCCATCGACACAGTGCAGTGTAGAAAGGGGCGGCTCCAGGCACCAGTGCAGCAAGCTTGTGCCTGGGGCAGCAAGCTGCGGGGGACGGCGTGCCGGTCACCATGAGGGCGGTAGTCAGGCAGCCTTCGGCGGTGTGCCTGCGGGAGGTCCGCTGGTCCCCCGGCTTCGGCAGTAATTCGGTGGCAGGTACGCCGAAGGCAAGGGACCGGCAGATCACCCGCAGAAACGCTGCCAAATCCACGTGACCAGTGGACCCCCCACAGGCATGCCACCGAAGGCCACCTGATTGCTGTGCTTGGGGCGGCAAAAAACATAGAGCCTCCCCTGAGTGTAGACACCGCAGTAAGTCGACCTAAGTTACGTCGACTCCAACTACATTATTTGCACAGCTGGAGTAACATAGCTTAGGTCGACTTATCCCGGTAGTGTAGACCAGGCCAGAGTAAGGACCCCAGTATTTGTCCCATACCATTTAATTATTCTTATTTAATATTCTCCTTAGAAAAGATCACCAAGGTATATTTCATAAGCTCTCCTGTTAAACTTCTATTTGTAATAGTCCTCCAGATACTTGCATCGTTAATTTGTTCTTTCCTGTTTTGTGTTCTACACTGTGATCCAAATTCAGAGGTGATAATGTATAAGGTTAGATAAGTTAGACTCTCTTACACTTGTTTAGATTTCCCTTAGACCAACTTATATCTACTTAACAATATACAAATATGTGCAAGGGAGTGAAAATTGCCATAACTTACATATTGAGGAGGTAGAAAAGACTATAAAAATGTGGTAAGCTAAAAGGAGGATGGCCAACTTTGTCTTTCACATTATTAGACGTTTTTATTTGCTTTTCTTGCAACACTTCTCTCTTTTGGGCTCTCAAATTTATTTGCAGCAACATAGAGATTATGGGCTAGATCCTCAGCTGGTGTCTGATAGAGTTCTGCCAGTGTACACCAGCTGACAATCTGGCCCCCTATGCTTAGTGAGACTCAGCTAACTAAATTCAGTTGTGAGGTGTGCAAGGTGATGAGGGAAGTGCCAGGTTCAAAAGTGAGTAAGTATAAGAGGACGCAGAGGGAATCTGACTGGTTTGACATCTTTCACCGATAATGCCTTTGAAATGTTAGTGTCTGTGAGAATGTGACTTTGAAAATTACTATGTCTCAAAGAAAAGCATTTTAGAAAATTGCTGTTTTCATGACCAGACACTTTGGGGCCTAAATCCATTTCTGCTGAAATTAAGCTTCCATTAAAAAAAAAGTTTCAAGGAATTATGGTAGCTAGGACTATCATATTTGAATTTGTCTTCTAAAAATTAGTTAAAACTACAGAATTTTTTAATATTCAAAAGTACAGTACACTCATTTAATAACTTCATTGAAAATGAATGAGAAATAGAACTGTTTTACATGATGCATTACGTTAACTTTTTGATGTAATTCTATTATATTTTCATATTTCTTTCCTGAAAAATACAAAACTAACTGAACAAATAAAATAAAAGAAGTAAGACATTCAAATTAACTCAACAATCCTTATTACTATCATCAGGACCAATAAATGGTAACATATTGCTTAATACCTTCACTTTCAGTTTTCTTTCATTATTTTGATATGCAAGGAAGAATGGGATCATAAAATAAATGTATATCTGTTACAAATGTAATCTACAAAATATGTAGTTTTAATAGTGACATCATGGTGTGGCACTTTACTCCTGGGGAAATTCTGTGTCAAAAATTCTGCATAGAATATTTTAAAATTCTGCATATTTTATTTGTCAAAATAATGCAATATAATCACTCTGGTTTCAATTATTTCGGTAATTTGTTTAAACTACAATACAATGGATGGAGAATGGGAGTGGGGAGCATTGGAGGAGATCCGCCAACCACCTTGCCTACTAGTAATGTAACTAGGTTTGATCCTATATTTCTAGTTATTAGTCAACAAATAAATGCAGTCGTAGGCTCAGTGTTACATCATGGGCAACTGAACAGCAAGTGAGGACTGGGGAATTAAACTCACAATTTATATTGGCTACTGACCATCTCCAGAAAGATCAGTAGCAAACAGTTCATGGAGCACATTTTGATAGGAAATTTTTTCAGTCCAAAAATTTAGACCTGTTCTAATCACTAAAACATCGTAAGCATTTATAAGGCCGTACTGTCCCTTACACAACTCTGGCAATGTAAAGGAGCCTTAAACCTTTTACACCTGTTTTATACGCCTGGGGGAATTCACTAAGCAGGCAGGCTGCTACATTGTGCTTTACCTGAGGGGACAGAACCTGCCCCATACCTACCTCCTCAGAAACACCCCAAAACCCTGCCCCTCCACGCCGAGCATGCTGCAATAGTGAGCGAGAGGGACAGAGTGTCTCCCTCTCACACATGCACAACTGCCTAGCCCCTCCCCGCAGCGGTGATTTACATCTCTACTGGCGGTTCCATGTGCCTGAACCAACCTGCCTGCAATGCCAGGGAGGGGTGTGTGACCACTCTTGGGGCTTCCCTTTGCTCCCCCATCAGAAGTCATTTTTCTGCAAGGAAGCAAAGAAATCTGTGGGGACATGAATTCTGTGCAAACGCAGTGATGTAGAATTCCCCCAGGAGTAACACTTGTTAATCACAATGGCATTAATGCATCCATGTGACACAACATTTATAGTGGGGTTTTTTTGCATTTTTTGCTGATGTAAAGCTACCTTCTCCATTAATGCTGTGATTGGTACGTCTTCAACCATTCTGAACACACTACAGGAGAGTTAAATTTCCATTATCAAAGTATTATGTATGTATGTTATGAAGAGATTTCACTATCCAATTCTTGGGGTCTACTGGAGGAGTTAATTTATTTAACAATTCCAGTGTACATATTTTTGAGGATTTATGGTGCTTGTCAACACACAATTAGTTGTGGCAAGCGGGGGTGTGAATTTACCCCATTCTAACTGTCTGCATAGACACAGCTGAATCGCATTAAAAGTTTGTTAATGTGCTTTGATCTAGTCCTCTTTGAAATTGGATTACATTGAAGCACGTTAACAAACTACTAATATATGGCAGCAGGGAACACACAGACGGTTAATCCACAGCAGGCTAGAATGGGGTAGATTCACCTCCTAGCTTGCAGCAAAGTAAATGTTTGTGTAGACAAGCTCTTATTTCTTCAGAACTGTGGAAAGACTTTTGCATATATTCCTAATTTACTATTTTCATATAATAATACAAATTACTTATGCATACTGTGGGCCTAATTTTCAGATGCGGCCTCTGAATTGCAGGGCTAATTTTAATAAACTATTTTTTTAATAAACTAATGGAGATATCCCATCTCCTAGAACTGGAAGGGACCTTGAAAGGTCATCAAGTCCAGCCCCTTGCCTTCACTAGCAGGACCAAGTACTGATTTTGCCCCAGATCCCTAAGTGGCCCCCTCAAGAATTGAACTCATAACCCTGGGTTTAGCAGGCTAATGCTCAAACCACTGAGCTATCCCTCCCCCCAAATTTTGCAGCTACAAATAATTGTACCTACAGTTTTACATACACTATTAATTGCTAGTGAAATTATTTGCACATGTGCACCTATCTACCCAATTTGGAAACATTGAAATGTAAAGTGTTTGTAAGTACAATTAGAATGCAGCTCCCACTGAAATCAATGGTAAGTCTCCCACTGAATTCAAATGGAGTTGGATCAGGCCCTCCATATCTAAGTGCCATGAATCATGCTCACAATTAACTGCATGAATAAGTATTTGTGCATGAAAAAATATGCTTGCTAAATCAGAGAGTGGGAGGAGGCCCTCATAATAATGAGACCTGGTATGATGCATTTGTCCAAAAGTTTTAGAGTATTGCTAATTATAATTTGTTCTGCTTTCAGCTTTATGTGGTCATTTGAAAAAACCAACCTCAGCATGGTTCAAGTTATCACAGGACAACTGGTTGAATCCTTTGATGAAGAGTTTAGGACACTGTATGCCCGTTCCTCTGTTCCTAGTTCATTTGCCCCAGAATTAGGTAGGGTAAATAGTCAGAGGATACTCTGGGAGAATGGCATATGCCAGCATTCACAGTCTTCTTTAGCTTCGGTTTCCAGCCAACGAAACCTTTTTGGTAGGCAAGACAAGATTCACAAACTAGATCCCATTTACTTGAAAACTCGAGGAAGATATGCAGTGAATGAAATAGATACATATGGTTTGAGAAATCAAACCTACAACAAACTACCCTTTCATCCAGGTTTTAACATGCAAAATAAAATTCGGCAGAATCAACCCAGTGAACAAAACGAGCATTGGAAGAGACATAGTTATGCTGGGGAAAACCCAGAAAGGACTCCTTACTTTTTGCTACACCGAGCTATTAATCGGGCCAATAATGTATCAAATACTTGGAAGATGCCATCTGATAGCCTTAGTATCGTATCTTCTTTAAAGGGAGGCTATACAAACAATTGCAATGCACCCCAACAAAGTTTTGCTGATCGGTTTGCACAGCCAAAGATAAATATTGCAGAAAGAAATTCAATTGTACGGAGGTCTTTCAATGGAACAGATAATCATATCCGCTATCTGCAGCAGAGGATGCCAACCCTTGAACACACTACAAAATCATTTCTCCGTAACTGGCGAATTGAGTCATACTTAAATGATCAGTCAGATTCTGCTGCAGATTGCAATGGATCAGCAGTCGGTGATAGGTATGAGGGCTATGACACAGCAGAAAATATTAAAGCTCATGCCCTTTATTCTCATTCTCGCCTGAGGTCATCATTAGCTTTTAAGCCAACTTTGCCAGAACAGCAGGAAGTAAGCAGCTGTACAAGTTCTTCAAATTCAACTATCGTTGGTTCAGAGGGAAGCGAAACACCTAAAGGGACGCCCAATCATATCCCGATTGTGAAAAATGTGACCGACAAAGAATCAGCAGAGGTCAGCACTAACATCCCACCTGACTCAGATGAACCAAAAAAGTCTGGAATGCAGGTTGCAGAAAACAAAAAACCTATTTTATACCCAAATGCCACTCAGGACCCATCTATCTACATGTACACAGCCTTCTATGTAAACAGACAGGCAGAAAATGGGAAGAACCACCAAAATGAAAATATACTAAAAAGGCGAAGTTTCCCTATATTTGACAACTCCAAGTCCACTTTGGATCATGGTGTCAACAAACAGGCGTCTAGCTATGTTTACAGCACACTGACTAGGCAGAGACTTAAGCGGCCAGAAAATCTAAAGCCCCCAGAGGATACAATAAAAAACTCTAAAAGCTTTCACAGTGTGACCAACCACATAGAACAAGAAGAGAAAAATCTTGAAGAAGAATCAAAGAGCCCCACTACCACAAAGGCCATCTCTGTGGCTGCTCTAGCCGAAGATAGCAAAGAGGAACCTAGCAAAGAATGTACTTTAAAGAAAGAAAATAAGAATTCACCAAGTTTCCTGAAAAAGGGATCCCAGAAACTGAGGTCATTGCTAAATCTCACACAAGACAAGAAGGAAAACTTGTCAAAAAACAAAGGTCCTGTGTTTTATAGAATGTGCAGCAGTTCTGACACGTTGGTTTCTGAAGGCGAAGAGAATCAAAAGCCAAAAATATCTGAGACAAAGGCTGATTCCTCTCCAAGAAAAAAGAGGACCACCTCATCCAATTCACAAGGCAACTTGCATAAAAGTAAAGAGGATGTCACTTTGAGCCCACCAAAGTCTCCCAAGCCACCAAAGTCTCCCAAGCCACCAAAGTCTCCAAAACCTCCATTTGATGAAAGCAGTAAAAAGTGCCCTACTTTATGCCCCCCTGAAAAGTTCTTAGAAACTCTAGTAGATGCATCCACTCCAAGATTTAATACTGAACAGATCCAGTACCAAGAGGTGAAAGAAGCTATAACTAATGCTACCCAGGAAACTGCATCTGTTTCTAGTCCTCCACAAAGAGTAAGCACAATGACATCCCAGCCTGGAAACTCAAAGCACAAAGAGGAGTTATTAAGATCTCGTTTGAGTGAAAGACGTGTTTATAGTCGCTTTGAGCCATTCTTGAAGATGGAAAGCTCTGGTCAGCCCGCAAGAAATACACCCAAGAGCAGTACACACCTCCCAGAAACAAAAAGCAAAACCTTAGAGAATAACTATGCAAGGGGCAATCAGGTGGCTCATTACAACTCAACTGTATACCGTCCATTACAGCCAAATGAAAACAAGCTTCGAGGATTTATGCAAAAGTTTGGAAACTTACTATACAAAAACAAATAACACCTATATAGTCTGAGGACTGTGTGAAAAATAGCAAAGGCAGCAGCAGGACTGTAAGTATTTAACTGACTTAGATGGATGGGCAGGCCGGTAAAGTTTACAAGGGGTTAGAACTTTGGAATTGATGTATATGTTTTTATGTAATAAACCTAGAGTTATTATACTTCAGTCATTACACAAGTTCTGTGTCTAAAAGATGTTTTAAATGAGATGTTTATAATGTTTATACTGTAAGATTAATTTGAGATAGATACTTTCCCTCATTCAGAAAGTATGTAATAATATCTTATAAGTGTGGAAAAAGAGGGAGGAGGTTATTTAAACTCCAACTAATATTTTTTTCAAAAACCTATCATTTAAAAATAGAATAATACTGGGATAAGTGGTCTGCTGTGTCTTTTCAGCATTTATGTACTCTTGAAAGTAATAAAAGCAGATGTTAATTAATTGTATGTTACTTAGCCATTTAAACTAATTTTTGAAAGCCTCTTACAGACTTTACCATGTTACTGATTGTCCACACAGACTGTATTGAACTGTGAGGGTAACAAATGGAGAATCTCACTTATTGTACTGAATATTGTATGTAATTACATATCACCACAAACCTCAAAGTGACCCTCACACCAGGGTGTGGTGTACTTGTTTACAATGTGAAGTGGTTGTAACTGTAGGGTGACATTTTAAAAACTATTGATGCATCAAGATTTATTGAAAGTAGGCTGCAATTGGAGTTAAACCTCAAATGTACAGTTAACTTTTTATCATATATGCCAATATTCCCTACTGCATCCTTAGAAACATGTGCTTTCCTGTATTTTTAAATTTGGAGCATCAAGGAAGAAAATTAGTCTGTGGATTACCATTTCTCAATCAAGTTTGTAAGTTCCCCATATAGTACCTAGCTTTAAATGTTAACAATTGAATTTGCAATTCTAACTTAAGTAGTCCAGTTAAGAAAAGTTGTAGGCACTTATTTCACTCAAAACTTGAAGTATTTCCAAAGACTAAAGTAATGGAAGCAACAAAAGACCTTTTAGACAGACTGGGTGAAATTCTGGGAGTCAGTGGTAAAATACCGATTGACATTAGTGGAGCCACGATTTCACCTATCTTGTTTATAAACTCCTGTTCCTAATTTCTTCCTATTTACTATATGGACCAAAGGACCATGCACAGGAATGCTCACTGTTCACTTGACCAGCTTGCATTCAAATAGTTTTTTAAAGTATGGAAACATTCACAAACTCTTTTCATTTGAATCGGTGCTAATTTAAGGATTTCTCAAATTGAGATAATCTGTTTGCAAAATTCAGGTGTTCTGCCAGTGACTTCAATGGACATTGGATCAGGACCCAACCATTTTATTTAACTAAGACATGAGTAATTCCCACTGAAGTCAATAAAGAGTTACTTGTATCAAGCAGTAAGATAATCAGGACCCCACTACTGTGCATAGTAAATATAAGAAGAGTATGAGAGAGACAAGGTTGGTGAAGCATATATTTTATTGGACCAACTTCTCTTGGTGATAGAGACAAGTTTTTGAGCTTATACGGAGCTCTTCTTTAGATCTGGGAAACCTTGTCTCTCTAATATCCTGGATCAACATGGCTACAACAACATTTCATATGAGAAGAGTATGACACTGATGATTAATATTTAATGTTAATTCATTCACAAACATTTATTTTTAATGTCTATTCCTGAACTGATTGTTGAGATGAGCACACCAGTGATTTCTGTATGTTATTTCCTTTATTTTAATGGGGGAGGGATTTTGAATAAGAATATTGTGCTGTTGAGGAGAGCAACTCCCATCCAAATAACTTTTTTAAATAGCAACCATATTTTCATGCAGTGATTGTTAATATTATGGAAAAAGTTGTCTTGAATTAATCTCACATTACTGGATTGACAGAGAGGCCCTGATTATGATCTCACTTAATTTAGCTTTATCTGTATAACTTGGAACAAATATGGCCCACGGCACCATAGTATCTAAGTGTTCTACACTCCTGTAACCCCACTGAGTTATTTCTGATTTATACTAACATATAGTGATCCATCCCTCGCCCATTCCCAGCTTCTGACAATCAGAGGCTAGGGACACAATCTCTTCCCATCCTGGCTAGTAGCCATTGTTGGACCTATCCTCCATGAATTTATCTACTTCTTTTTCGAACTCTGTTACAGTCTTGGCCTTCACAACATCCTCTGGAAAAAGAGTTCCACAGGTTGACTGTAAGTTGTGCGAAGAAATACTTCCTTTTGTTTGTTTTAAATCTGCTGCCTATTAATTTCATTTGGTGACCCCCTGGTTCTTCCTTATTTACTTTTGCCACATCAGTCATGATCAGATAGACCTCTATCCTACCCCCTTAGAGGTCTATAAAATCATTCCATTTGAAACCTAAAAGAGATGTGACCCAAAGATAATAGGCCCTACCTAGCTGAACTCTGAATTTCCAGATGCAGTTAAGACAGCAGATTATCTTTAAAATTTCATAGACCAAAGTAAAATGTATAATCAGTGGTTGATTATACCTCCCTCCCAACAGCACTCCTCAAAAATTCCAGTGAAGGGATATGCTATTTAATTCTTTTTTTTTTTTTAAACATGCCTGATTTGTTCATCGGCTACGTCAGAAACCTGCTTATTCCTCCCCACCTATGGCTGTGATGGGAGTCCTTGAACTATAGCGTGCTGCATTTCACCTAGAACCCTCTCCTGTTCCCATTAAAATCACAATGGTTATTGCCAGTTACTTCTATGAGGCAGGATCAGGACATTTCCCAAAGAACAGTTTTAATCAAAATGATATGTAATAACAATAACTATTATATAGTGGGGATGGTATTTACAGTTAGTGGTGATCTCTTGTGTCTCAATTGTATGTTGGGTCTTTCTCTTTCCCTCTACCAAAAGTTTTCAGTTCCTTCTTAGCTGAGATATTTGAGAAAGTATATGAATTGCTTCACTAATACATGCTGTTAGTTTGCCTTTTCCATGCTGAACTGGCATCGCTGGAGTGTTCAGTACGGAAAAATGCCTCCTCACAACTCTAGGGGGCTGCCCAGTATGGACTCCTGTTACTCTCTAGATAGCAGCATTTTTTATTAACATTACATGTTTTATGATCAGCAGGTTTTCAGGAGGGTGTCCCAATTATGAGAACTCCACTGGAATACATACAAGCTGCAGAGCTGCTCATGGCCCTGTAAGTCAGGATTTGTAAGCAATGGAAGCTCATTCATTTGCATTCTCCTGCCCTAGGCAGCTCTCCAGCATACCACCATAAAATGTTCATATATTTCCTTTTGGGGCTACCATGGCAGGTGCTAAAAGTTGCAGTTCCCTGTGTGTGTACATACATGTAGTAAATCTCATGAGATATAGTTTGTTACAATTTTTGGAAAATTACTATTTCTTCTATCAAAGGCAGATTGCTAAGTCAAGAGAAAGAACATATAAACATTTCCAATAAAATGCACGTAATATACATTTGTTTGCCAATTGTCTCTCTAGATGAGTATGGTTGAGAAAATTGTGTGGTGGGGAGGGAGAGAATGGACTGCTCACCTGACATTTTTTCTCTACAAGTAGAGTACAGAGAGTGTAACATAGGCCAGGAAAAAACCTTCCTGTGCGAGTCTGCAATTAAAATACCGACAGGATACCACTACCAACATTTTATTTTCTTTACTGATTTAAGTATAGACTGGATGTAAAACACCAAATATTTGCATGTGAACATAGTGCATTTAAGTGTCTGTTCTACAATGCCTGTTCTTGCCTCATCTAGCAGTCAAAGAGCTCAAAAACCTGATTGTTTCCCACTGATTTTAATGGCCTTTGTATCAAGCTTTTAGAACCCAATTTAGCAAAGCATTTAAGCATGTGCTTATCTTTAAGCACTCAAGTAGTCCTAGCATGAAGTTAAAGTATAAAATTAAGCATGTGCTTAAGTGCTTTCCTTTATCATGGTCTAAAGACTCATAATACTACTTGGGCATCAAATCACATATTCCAATCAATTGTTAATCTAAATATATGTTTTTTTATTTACTTAGAGCAATGTCTGAATTTCACACAGCCAAGCTGTAGCCAGATCTGGATTTTATTGCCCCTTCCAAACCCCATGTAAATGGTAGCTATTGCTTCTGCTTTGTGTAATCTAGATGATGCAAAGGAAATAGACAGGATATTATACACATATACAAGCATCCAGAATTGGTATTCTTGATTGCAAAGGAGAAAACAGAATTTACAAAAGTTTTGAAAGCACCAGGGAATTCCATGAAGCTAGGTTTTGGGCATGCCAGATTAATATGCCTGTTTCTAGTCTGGATTTAGTTTTGCACTGTTATTCATTATGTAAACTCTGGTTTCTCAGTGGAAATACTTACATTACATAGTAGTTAATGCCATGCATATACTGTATATGTACAAATGCAAACCAAAATTTGTCATGAAATAATTTATTACTTTTATTATTTTTTACCAAATAAAATGCTTCTTTTAAAGCTTAGTTTCTCTGACACCTTTATTTACATTGATTTCATACTACTATTAATATTTCTAGTTTTAAATATCTTCATCATTTTTTTTAATTTTAAAAAATGTACTGACATAAAACAAGTCAAGCAACAAATGTTGGTAATGAAAGCTCTAACCCTACAATTTAGTGCATGCTATGCCTTCATAGAGCCTCACTGATTTCCATGGGGCCTCATACAGGATCAGCAGTCTACCCTTGGACTGGGAATTGGAGGATGAAAACTTAAATCATTTCCCCGTAGAATATCAATAGTAAAATAGAGGTAGCAATAAAGAAGATAATAAGGTTACAAGGATCGGGTCAATTATGTCAACTTTCTGTGCTTAATTTCAAGGTCTTATATCACTCTGCTTCTACATACATCTCCAGCTTTGTTTCCTTTCATATTACTTCTGCTTTGTTAATGATAATTGATATCCTCTTTTCTTCCTTCTAACACAGCTATTCCATGCTGCCCCTTTCAAAATCTATTTGCCTAGCATTTAAGCTCTCCCCATTTAAATGCTTCCTAAAAACTCACTTCTATCAGATTGCTTACAAGAAGTGTCTTCACACAGTCCTCTGTGCATAAGCATAGACTTCAAACTTAATGTCTCATGAAGAATTGATTTTCAATATCCAAATATGTGCTAGGTGCTTTAGAGAAATAAGTAGGGAAAATAAGTGCTAAAGAGATTACAGTCTACATTTAAACTTAGTAAGGAAATGAACAAAAAGAGAGGAAAGAAAAAGAGGACAAGAGTTATAGAAGTAAGATCGGGTGATTATTTGGTTATGGGATATGTGTGTGTGTGTGTACACGCACATGTTCAGATAGACATACATATACATAAAATCACACAATGTCCCCATATACAGAAATATAAATAAAAGAGCATAAAGATTTAACCTACTAAGTAAGATGTGCTCATGCTGTAACTGAGTAACCACCTAATGTCAGGATTACACTCCTGGGTCCCACTTCTTCCCTTTCCCCTCTTTGTTTATTTCCCTCACTTGTGTCAAATCTAAACTTAGACAGTAAGTTCTTCAGGGCGGGGGACTGTTTTCAACTTCTTTCTCTAAGGTGCCTAGCATGTATGTGGGAGCTCAAAAAATAGTATAAATAATAATTAATCCTATTAAAGTCTCAACTGACTTGACGAACAAGCCTTGCCTATATAACTAAACAAAATCAAGATTTAATTTATGATATAAATGATTGATTTGTTTGAGATTAAGCAATGTGATGCTATTCATCAGCAAAAAGTGTAAAGTGTCATTTTTTGATTCAGTATGTACTGTTAAAAAAATACATAGAATGAAATCTGCTATAAAAGTGCTTAGATCTCAGAGAATTCTGCATAGGTGAATACACATTATTACCTCCACTTGACAAATTGAAGAAACTGAGGCACAGAGGTCTTGTGTCACTCATCCAAGATTTCATAGTGAGCTGATAGTAAAGCTGAGGATATAACTAAGGTCTCCTGACTCCCAGTCCTCAGGCTCCTGCCAGTGACCTGAACCTTCAAATTTTAAAATGTCAAAGATTACCAGTGATATGGGTTGCCTAAGTTTTTGACTGCCTGAGCTGGAGCCAAATTTTCAGAAATTGCTGAACGCTTGCCCTCTGAAAATCAAGCCCTGTTAAGGAGACTCAAAATGGATCCATCCAAAATCACTAGTCCATTTTGAAAACAGGCCTCTGTATAGGTATATAAGTGTTTCCATATAAGTCTCAAAAAATCACTGACAGTTACCACACTGTGTATTTGAAATACCGACTTATTTTCCATTCTAAGTGTAGTGTTATCATTGTGTTAACTGCCTATACGTGTTGAATGTTCAATGGCAATATAGGGGTAATCTTTACTATTTTTATACAGCAGTCTGTTCCAAGCCCACCAGAAACAGCTACTTTCATTGTGCTTTCCCAAGGTCAGAACATCTCACTACCTGACCATGGGTCAGTTTTCAACTGGTGTAATTCAGGGTGTTTCCACTCAGGCCAATGGAACTAGTAATTTACACCAGCGGAGGATCCAGCCCATAGATGGTAATTTTGGTTTGTCATACTGTCAAAGAACCAACAGTAAGCACACGCAGGAACTCAATCCTGACTGTCCGTTCTTCCCCAACTGAATAAACCTTAAAGTGATCAAGAGTAGCTACAAGGATGTACAGGCTTGGCTGACTCCAGTAACATGTCTGTCAGGCAAGTGCAGTAAAGAAGCCACAAAGATTCATGCCCCTTTTCTCTGTCATTTTTATAGCATTACAAATGTTTTGGGTGAGAAGGGTGGGTTGGGTCACAAAGAAGAGAAAGGGGGAAAAAATCAGGAGGATAAGAGTACTGACTGTTATCAGTCTCTTTATTCATAATCACAAAGAAAAAGTTACTCTACCCCAGAGTAGGGATAAATTCAGTTTGAGATGCAACTCCACAGAATTTATCAGGCAATATAAATACATGTATGAGCATGGATAAACTGGCATTATGCAGACAGCAAAAATTAAAAGCAGTCACTGAGCAGTACTTTAAAAAGAAAATGAATACAATCATCTAATTTTTTCCTCTTTTGTTTCAGAGAGTTCAAAATACTGGACGCTTGGCACTGAAGTCTCCAGTTCTCAGTTGAAAATTAAACATA